GAGAGTGAGGTTCCAGTGTGTTCAAGCTGCGTGGATGGTCTTATTCACAAATGAAATGGTTTGAATCCACTTTCACTTAATTCACATTAAAGGATGGTTTTATTTCTGAGTGACAGTATTCACATAGCCATTTAACTAAAGCACTTCAGTTTTTCCCTTCACTTAAGCCAGGCGAGCTTTCTTGCTTTGTCTCTAGCAGACAAGACCACAGCAGGTCTACCACATAAGTACCTGCTGGCCCAACATACTGTCATTCACAAGAGATACCATCTTTGGTTTAAACTCAATTTGACAATGTTTGGAATCTAAAGGCTTAACATTACTTCAAGGTTTGCAGTCTTGTGCCTTAGTAGTAGCTTTACCAGCTATTGTTCACCTATGGCAGGTACTAGTTAAAGTCTGGTAAACGRAGTGCCTGGCACTGAAGCCTGTGCTGCAGACACACTGAGTGATGTGGGCCCCATGAAACAATGTGCTATCCCAGCTGGCAAACATTTATTTAAATTACATTGCCAGATAACTCTGTGAGCCTTTAGCCATGCAATTCCTATTAATGCAAGTTGAAGGCACTCATCTCATACAAATATCTGTGCATAGAGGCAGTGCAGGAACTTCAAAGAGAGATAATTATTTTCCAGATGCATAAGGAATCAAAATAAATGTTCTTGTTAGACTGTCAGAGTCTTCCTGAACCTCTTCTTCAGTCTAATATTTGACTTTAATTTAAATACATGCCTTTCATTTGCTGAGATTGTGGTCTTCTCTGCAGCACATTCCTAAAGTAGACTTTTATTAGCCCATGACAGCTCAGGGCCCTGTGCCATGCATTACTCATGAGTTGATCCCTGGACCTGACTTTTCTGTGGAAAAGGTGGTTGTCCATATTTTTAGTAACACTTGCCATAGATAAGTTCTCCTCTGAATAAGAATAAATGTTTGCCATATATTTACCAATTGATCAAGTGAGCCATATTTCTGCTCTTACCTAGGGAAGACTATATTTTTTCATAGTTCAAGCCCTGCAGGTTTTTCACCTCTTTTCTGTCTGGAAGATTTCACATGTTCTCAAGCAATTCTGTCTGCCCCTTCTTGAGACTGCTGATTGTCAGGGAAATTTTGTCATCCCACCCTTTAGTCATTTTTGTGTGGTGCACCTAACCTGCAAAGGTCCAATACTGTCCTGGACAATGACCAAAAAAGCAGAGCTAAAATTCCTGAGAGTCAGACTTTGAAAGTGGCTTTTAAGAACACATTATTGAGCTCTGAATTTGCTGATCTTACTGGTGAAAAATAAAAAAGATMGTACATCATTCAGACTAATGATACAAAATGACAGAAACAATATTGTGCAAAGTGCATTTTTACTGCTGCTTTTGAATTTGGAAATATCAAGACGTGCTAAAGAAAACTAGGGAAGACAGTAGGTGAGTTAAGGAAGCTGTGTACTGTGTGACTGTAATGGAGCAGGAATAACCAGGGTCAACTGGAACTATCCACAGAAATGAGAACCTCATCTATATTCAGGCAGGTTGAAGAAACTGGACCTCCTGCTTTTGAAGAAGAAAAGATTAAGAGGCAATCTAATTGGAAAGGTCATATTCCCTTCAGAGTGCTGTGTAATAGGACATAATGAAGCTTCCTAAGTTAAACTAATGTAAAACACTGAGAAAAAAAAGGACAGCCCAAGCTCTAAAAGCATACTTCTTAGCTAGGCTTCGATATAGACTAGTTTTGCAATGAAACATTGCCCATGCTCTGAATCTTGTCCTTTTAATGAGTGGCAAATGCCAATATTTGGAAGGTCAAGTACATGTTTTCCAGGCATAAATAACTCTCTGCTTTTTATGAACTTTTCTTAAGGATTTCTTAAGGATTTGGCATAAGTTATGCTTACCRTATGCAGGAATAGGCTGAACCGTATTCTGCAAACACCATGGACAACAGAYAAGAGCTACCAGTTTTAGTGATGGAGAAACTCAAGTACTTAGCCAAAAACCACGGGGAATCAAATACAGAATCTGAAATGCTCAACTTCTTAAAGCTCAGCAGCCTTAGATATCTGTATATGCTTCTCTCAGATTCTCCTATTTTCTCATCTAAAGCTATGTCTTGACTGCTCAGTTTAGCATGAGGGCCTGTGTCCATACTCCATGCACTGAGCTCTGCATGTCCCCTCTATCCCGTGTGGTGGCCTTTCACCTCTGGTGCAAGCTGTCTTCTGAACAGTGTCCAGCCATGGGCTTGCAGAGTGTAAGCTGTCACAGAGCTGCACAACATGTAAGTACATAAGTACTCTAAAAATTTGCAAAAGGCTAAAATTTGAGGCCCTAGACACACACCTGGGCTGTGCCAGTGTGGCAGGCATACCTTTTATTGGAGGTGACTGGTATCCTCCAGCCTTTGATCTGGCTAAGCTCTGTATCAGAGATCTCAATCTGCAGGGGAAGCCGGGGAACCCAGACAGTCACTTCTAGTTGGGTGGTAAAATGCTCGTAAGTGAAGTTAACTATAGTATCCACTTTGCTTTTCATTTCCTTGCCGTTGACAAAGATGGAGTCGCATCTGTTAGAAACCTTTAAAAAAAAAAAGAGAGGGGAAAAAAAAAGATTAATTAGGAAATGAATAAACATTCTTGAGAAGCACAAGGAATTACAAATCCATCCAAAGATAATGCTAATAATATGAGTCATGCATATTGTATTTCCAATTTTTTTTAATTAGTTACAAATAGTGGAAAATGTACCCCAGGGAAATAGTTCTGCCTTCCGCACCGGATACTACTCAGACTACAGAAATAATCTCAGGATGTTATATAACCTCTGTCAGTCTTTTATACTAGGCAAATTAAACTCTGCRTGAATCAAACTCCGTGTACACCAGAGTTTATGTTTACAACTTGCTTAAAAAAACTGGAAAAGATGGAGCCATATGTTAGTAAGAAAACGAATGACTCAGAACCATAAAACAGAATCTTTTTCTTTCAGCACTGCACTGCTTAAAGATGAAGATCCCCTTATGGCTCATGAGCRGAACTGTAACAGAAACATTAATTTTTAGAACTTCTCAGTAGTCATTTTAACAAAATATATTCATAGTTGCTTTGTGTCATTGTATGGAAATGTTGCCAAATCGAGTACTGTAGAGCAGGTGGGCTGTGTATTACAACTTGTCTGCCCTCTTGGTTTCAGGGTCCTTTGGCACAAAATCAAGGCTCTGGAGCACAGATCTTATTTTTGAAACAATCCAACACAAAAAGATCCTGCATCCTGGAAAGATGGAGCTCCGTTCTTGGTGAGGCATGTTTTATATATTTGTGTGTGCTTGTGTATATATATATATATATATATATATATATATATATGTATATGTATATGTATATATGTATGTGAATGTATAAAGATTTGCATTCTGCTTTGAACTAAGATGTGATAGTCTCCAACAGATTCCATGTACTAAGGCTTTAATCTGTTAAACCCAAGTCTCCTGACACGTTGTTGAGTTACTGAAACGGACTTCATTTTCACGTCAGGACTATTCTGTGTCATGTTATATAATGTACTGAGACTCAGACCTGAAGGGATTCTGGCAAAGTCAGTGATCAGATCCTGGTTTAGTGGAGTCATGTAGTCTTCAGTGGGGAATACGATGAACCAAAGGTTAATTTTGCTCTGTAAATGTACCTCAAATCATGTCTGGTTTTAAAAGAAGTTAGATACAAAGAAGAGCTATAGAAAATATCTAGCAGACCTTTTATCTTAAGTCTAGCCCTCACATATGACTAAAATGTTATTCTTTAAACCCCTGGTAACATCATGTGGAATAACACTATTTTTCTTGATTTCTAACACGGTAAGTTACTGTTAGATAGGCAGTGTCTCGTGCTCTGCTACCATATGGAGAACATCTAAGTAAAAATATTTTACCTCTGTGGATCCTATAATTCTTTTAAAATTTATATGCAACTTGGCTATGATTCAGCTACTTCAGAACAAATGAAAACAAACAATCCTTATGGTGATCATTAAATGGCAAGTTTTATTTCCAGAGTTATGATGATGATGTTACAGTAACTCCTAAGCCAAGAAAGGAAGGAAAAACATTTGGGCAATACTGTGCTAATTTATCTGTTGGTATGGATCCAATGAATGCTGACACTATCAAGTGACTGTTTTACACTTAGTGAGACCTATCTTATTTTGATACAATAGCTAAACTTTTCACATTGTCCCTTTTATAACATCACTGTGCAACTAATGTCACAGTTCTGACATTAATTATTTGATAACAACCTCACTAACAAAATTGACAAGTTTTTTTTTTATTCTCTTTAGGGAAAAAAAAAAAAAAAAACACTGCTTGATGTTTTCCTCTATGGAAACATGCAATACCAATATATGAAAGAAACAGCTGCATTTCCACATTTGCCATTTTCAGGCCAGTTTCACAGATCCTAATTAATGTGCTGAAACTGCAATCAATTAGGTTTTTGCAAAGGGACTAAGCCAGGTTACCAGGGATAGACAAAAGAAACTAAGTCTTCTGAAGATAAAGCTCCTTCCACATCAACGCTTAATGAGTACAGGAATTAAAAAAAAAAAAAAAAAAAAAAAGGAAAAAAAAATAAAGCTATCTGATAAAGAGCTTAAAATGGACTCCAGGCGCAGTAGTATCACAAATGACATGGAGCACACTCAGAATCCCTGTTTCCCCCTCATAATATGTCACAAGTGTGTCTGGGAAATTTAAGCACATTAATCAAGCCCATTAATTGAATGAGCAGCTGAGATTCTAAATCATAAAGCCCACATCTACGGCGCTTTGTGAGAATTAATACAAGACAGAAACAATTAAGAAAACTCAAAGAGAGGAGGATAAATATCAAGACCTACCTGATCAGGAGAATAACTAATATCGGACACGACAGAGGCTAATATTTTAATTTCTCTTCTTGGTGTTTAAAACAGTCATGTATTTTGTCAGCAGGCAAGAAAGGTGCTAAATCAGGGAAATGAGATATGGAATTCAGCTGTAGCTTTTTACAAGCTATCAGGCTTGGCTTGCAAATCTCATACGTTTCATGTTTATACGGGCCATCCAGTCACTTGCACTTACCAAGAGGTAACTATAATTCAGAGCATATAACTGTGCTATAGAGGTTGACCCAATGACCTTGTGTAAAGTTTGCAGCTCCCACCGCTTTCACTGATGTGTATCTTCTAGAAAATCATCTGTCCGTGATAAGAAAATGTGGAGAGATGAATTATTCTTTTCCCAGCTCCCTATTAAGCGCTTGAGTTTACACTACYAGGTACAAGCCAACCTAGAAATCTAATGGAAAATTTTGGTTGCATAGATAGCAGTGAAAGCCTCAGCACTCGCTGAGTCTAGCTGCTAGCCCATGAGGAGGAAGCATGTGAAGCCATGACCACCGTTAGCCACACCAGCTGTGTTAATGCTCGCTTGAGCAAGCCTCTCCATGTTAGATCTGTAGCATTTAACCTCAGAACTCCTACACTCATTAAACCTTTGTGCCATTGTTAATTCCCTTGAAAACAGCCTGTTCCAACTCCTTGCACCCAAAATTAATTTCATCCAGTTCTCAGCCGAAAGCAGTGGCTTCATGTTAAGCGCAGTCTAGGTGGTCTGCCAGTGAGGAGGGAAAGCTGTGGAGCTTTGTGGCCTCCAAGAGTATTTGGCTTATGGGAGGCCAGTCCCCCCTTCTGTGTTTTCCCCTCACTTTCTCCCCTTTTAAGGCTAATCCATGCTTTTATAGTGGACCCGTAGCTCCCAGAGAGGCACGTCAGCATGCTGAAACGTAGCTCGTAGGAACTTCTGCTAAGGTTGGGGAGCACATCCATGTGCACAGGAAGATCTACTAGGGGGTAGTGTGGTCATTTAGGGAAAGCTGCAYTACCAGTGACTTTGTGATTTGTATAGAGCTGCTGGTATACATCCGAGGAAAGGAAAGGAGCAAATGCTCCTGGAAGAACTATCTCCTGCAAAGACTCCATAGTAAGAGTGGAGCAAAACCTTCTAGCGCCATCTCCTAACTCCAAATGCACAAACCAGAGCTGTAAAACAGGCTGCCACTCTCCACTGTCAATTGCCTGCCAAAAAAAWCAGAAAATGCTATTTGAGACAGTTTGCACGAAGGGCAGGATGGCCAGCTCTCTGCACTGGTGTTTGGGTCAAGAGAAGGAGAGCTGCAATTAACCTTTCTGGGCTTTGAAGCAGGTACTTGGCTCCAATCCCCACAAGTAATTCTAAAAAGCACAATTTCCCCTGTACAACCTGCCAGAGCCTCCTCATTTTAGACTGAGCAAGTACAAAAGTAGGCAGCAATCCACGGGAGTAATTGGGAAGCCATTTGATGTTCAGGTCACCAAGGGTTTAGGTACCCTTTGACTGAGCAGGTATAAAAAAGAATTGAACAGACAAGAAAACAAATAAAACTAGTTGCTGGTTAAGCTGTACAGTTTTATAGACCTGCTTTATTCAAAAATCTTTTGCTTTACCTTCATCTTGTAGGGCAGTTAAAAAGGAGAATGAATTAGAGACAACAGCAATAACAGAAAGCAAGCAAAACCCTTGTAGATGGGAATTTAGTGATGGGCATTTAGTGAAGAAATATCAGAGTTAATACTGTACGCAACACCAGGCTGTCATGTTAYATTTTTCATTGGTATTTTCCCCCCCMCACACACACATGCAAAACAAAAACACGCTGCTGTTTTTKCAGCAYGTGGTTTAGCAGAGTGCTACACCAGTCCATTSCGATATCAAGGGAAGTCGGGGCCCAAATGATTTTAAACCAGGGATTGAATTTCCCTTGAAATGGCCAGGTGAGGTGAAATCRCCCTAGTGAGATGGCTGCTCACCTCTGAAAATGTATCATGCACGTGTAGTGAGAGTTGTTAGACTGCTTTGAATCATGCAGCTTGTATACTGTTTTCATATAACATTATTATTCACTGATGACAAGAAACACCCATCCCTAGTGTTGGCTAGTGCTTGACTTAAACTTTGCTATTGCTTCCAAGTAGGCAACAAACATCAGAATATAGCTCAAAGGATATAAACCCTTATATCTGAAACTACAGCAGTTATTCCAGGGCGTAGTATGTGGAGAACTAATTTGCCAATAAAAACAAATTAACTTGAAAGGAGTGTTTCGAAAGTGACACTTCCAAGGCTATTTTGCACATGTCTAAAATTAAAAGGGAGTAAAACGTCTGTTTTCTTTGGGTTCAATGTCAACATCATGTCATTTGCCTTCCTCTACTCTGCGTGTTCTTAAGCCACCATTGCCTCAAACTGTTTGGCGACRATATTTGCAGACTCCAGTGCAAATAATTAGCCGGGCAGGGAGGGAGGAGGCAGGAATATTTCCAGACTTACCTGCTTGGGAAAATACCTGCTTGGAGAGGAAGTTTAAATAAATGTACAGTAAAACTAGGAGGCCAGATGTCATGCTTGGATAAGTACAACCCAAGCGCTGCTTTGAAGGTTGTGTTGGGGTTGCAAATCAGTGCATGGGGCTCAGAGGGCTCCTCCTCCCTGGGACCTTGCTACCTCCCTGCATCCCGATGGGCAGCACATCCTGCACTGCAGAGCAACCCGGCTTGGTGTGTGATGCAGAGGAGCTGGAAAGAGGATTGAAATGAAGAGTCTTTGTCCAGGAAAGAAAGAGTTCGAAAAGCAGAAAATAAACCAAAGTAGGTTCAAGAGACTAGAAGAGCATAGTGGGCTGAGGTATAGGCTTATGGAGGAGCTTATCACTTGCTCAGATGCTCAGATCTCTGCATGGACAACGTGAGGCCACATTAATACCAGCTCAGCAGCAATTAGCACAGTAGAATGAGTGACACCCTATTGTTTTAYTAAGAAGCCTCTGTTGTTTTTCTCTGTCACCATTTAACATTACTGATGAAGAGAAGCATGTTATTGAAAGAGGGAGAGATGCGAGTAGCTCCAGCCTATAATGATGTGAAAGGGTATTTGAAGCCTTAGAGTCCTTTTACCTTTTAACCCCCCCTCATTGAAATGCACTGAACTAGAGGGAAGGACAGCATGGAAGACATTAACATTTCGGTTTAACAATAGAGACAATTACAGTGGCTTAGAAAAGGTGCAATGATCCATGAATGTACAATGAGAATTTAAAAACCTGCTGTACTGAATGAAGTGTGAACTATTCAAAAACTGTTGATCTATGCAAAATTATTAAACAACACATGAGATCTGCCAGGATTTCGGTCCCAGGTGCAGAACAGCTGCTCTCATTCACGCTGCACACAGGCATTCCRGCTGGGGATGAGGAGTTTAGCGGGTGCATAGGTTCAAAGAGGGTGGCTGRGGATGGGGGGGACAAAGAAGGTGGGTGAGCTTAGATATTCCAGCCTGCTGCTCGGCGTGACAAAACTCAGGCTGAGTAATACCCACTCTGCCTCCACAGCGGTGCTGCAGCTGCTAGGAAGGGCAGATGTTCAGGCATTTCATTCTTATTGATGGTGTAAATGCTGCTGSGGGGAAGGGGGGAGCAGCTAACATGGTTCCTGCTGAAATGTTTTCAGCTCCATGCTCAAAGTCCTTTTGATAATCAGGAGAGCTTCTAACTATCTTTTTTTTTTTTTTTTTCCACCAAAATCAAAGTAAGGAAGTCTGCAGAAATTAAAAGGTAACATTTCTGTTCTCCCTACTGCTTTTATCATCATGTGCAGACTGAGACATAGAAATCATTGTTATGGGACAGATTAAGGCCGTATTAAGACACTGACATCTCTGGAAGACAAGTGAATGCCTTTGTTCACATTACCTGGAATAGATGGTGGTTGGTCCACCAGGCTTGTCAGCACAAGGAGAAATTACATTTGATGCCAGCAACTAAGAAATAGGGCTGGCTACGCTGCTATTGGTCTTAGCAACGACATCTCTGCAATCGGCTGCAAAAGCAGATGGAGACTTCACTTTGACATGGGAGAGAAGAATGGGATATAAGTGTTAGGCAATACAGCCTTTTTCTAGGTTTCATCCAACAGCCATTGAAGAAAATGAGACTTTCTGCTGATTTACTGGCCTCAGACCAGGCGCTCTAAAGGATGCTAGAACTTCACTGTCAATCGTAAACCAGTGACAGCCAGCAGTGGCATGACTTTCATATAAGGAGATGTTTAAGCAATGTTTGCTGAGAGGCTGGAGTTTTGTTTTCTTTTTTATAGTATAGTTCAAGCTGTATGGACAAACTGCAGTGATCTTGATGGAGTGGCAGTCCCCTTGCCAGGATGCAGAGGAGTAGATGCACATGAAACTTAGCTCCTGTGGTTTAAGCTCATTTAAACCTCAGCACAGGTTATGTTTTGAGCAGAGCTTCAGGCATACTCTTCATTCAGCCACTSCTTCTGCTGATAACGTGGGGCAGAGCTCAGAGCAGTAAATCCTTCCTCTTTGTCCATTTGTGGTCGAAGTTGCACCAGGCCCATCTTGTTCCCTGAGTTACTATTTCTCTTAAGCAATCCCACGTGCAGTTCAGCATGGTTTCCACCTGTCTTGTCACCGTGRTGCAGGTGACAAACACCTCTGTGAAGCTCACGTCCTCCCCAGCCAGGCCTGCCTGGCTCAAGACAAACATCGTCACCGTCCACTGGGATAAAAGTCCTTTCACGGGCACAAACTCTAAACACATGTTTGTATGAGGTGGTTTGCTTAAGTTTTTGATCCTTAAACTTCATTGGATTAGGCATTACCAGCGCTTGTTGGCTTAAGGAAGCATCCAGATACTTCATATTCATCAGCTGCTGTCCCAGAAGGGATTAAGAGCTGTTTATCTAGTGAAACCCCAGCATATGGTGCCAGGGCTTTCTTGCACCAGCTCTAATTGCAAACACTGAACTTGTTCTGTAGAAACTGCTAATTAGGTGAAGCTAACACATATGTTTAAGCTATAAGCCATAGTGGGGTTTTCTCCTTTTTTTTTTGCACTTGAATTACTCCCACAAACGGGGCTGAAGGTTGACAGAATAATTTACACATTGCTTAGAAGAGAACAAGGGGGAAGTATTCAGGCAGCTATAACATACTTCAGTCCCACTGAAGTTCTTTGCAAAATAATGGGCTTAAAAAGTAATCTTCTGTGTACTAAGTAAACTTAGCATTCATGATTCATGGCTCTAATCCCTGTGACTGAAATTTAGGATCTAAGGCTCCATGAAATTAAAAGAAAAAGAAACAATTACATGCGTATGCCTTCAATTTCATGTGTTGCATACCCATTCAGTTTTTCCAATGACATTTTAAGATGGGAAATAGAGATTTCTAAACAATGCCTAATTCAAAAAAAAAAAAAAGAAAACAAACCAAAAAAAACAGGTCTGTTGAAACTGCTGAAGCTCCTGGTTTCTCCAGGTTGCACTGGGACGTAAGTCACCCCCACATTGTCCCACCTGCCAACAAATAGTCCACAAACAAAGCTTGTGCGCTTAACAGAGTATTAGGAGTAATGTCTTAAGTGAGGAATGTCAGGCCCACTGATCTAGCCTTTAATCTTGCAACTGTAATGAAGGTGTATGCCATCCTTATCCCAAAGGAACATTTGGAAACCAGGAAAAAAAAAAAATCCCAAAAGARCTTTTACATACACAGYAGTACACTGCTGTTCTGCAAAGAAAACTTTGGTCCTGTGCCTAGATTTTAGCGTTTCTACATTCTTAAGTCTTCCCAGATAGTTTTTAGTCTCTGAGCAACAAATAATTAATTAATTAGTAATTAAAAAAAAAGGGGAAAAAGGAGAGATATGCAGGCAGCAAATAGAGCTAAACAAAAATAAAACAAAACAAAAAAAAGAGTGTAGATTATAAAGGATGGTGCAATTTCCCCACATACACAAAATGCTCTAAACAATTGCTTTATATTGCTAGATCACACATCGTACTGCACTACCACAGTCCAGCTGTAACTCTTTTTAGAGGAGGGCCCATAGAACCAGTATTGGTGCCACAATACTCCTAGGTATTGTGTGTAGCAGAAAAACACTTCCTAAATGATGACAGTATTGTAATAATACAAGTGGCCTTATTTATAGCACAGGGAGAAATAAGAAAAAGAAAGCAAGAGACATAAGAAAAAATGTTCTGACTACAGGAGAGCTATAGTGATGATAAAAATGGGAGAAGGTCCAACATCTGTCATCATCTCCAAACCTGCCTTGACCTCTTAAATGATTTTCAGACATCCTGATTGCTTGGGAAAGTAAAAGAAGAAAGAGTGCATGGCCAAGGAGCCCAGCAGAGAGCCCTAAGCTACCTCCAAAGGGCTCCCTTGAGCCGTACGTGTCCAATCCAACTATGTCTGCTGCCCAACAGTGCTTCTTGCACAAGTCCACTGCRTATTGTGCGAGCCCACCCACCATGTACTGCACTGGGCCATGCAATGGTCCCAGCTCTGGCTCCTGCAGAGCTGCATGMAGTGAATAACCTTGGACAATCACTCAAGGAAACAGAAGGAGGTTCTTTAAGATGAATGCACTGGAAAAAAAAAAAAGGTCTCAGTCTATCAAAAATATGGCTAGATATCTACTTGAGTGTACCGTCTTGGGGCTCTTCAAATTGTCGGAAAGTGAGTGAATGACACAGCAGCTCTTTTCCAAGAAAATATTTCTTCTCTCTTTAATGTCAGAATGACACAGCCATGACATGCAGCTTAACTCCTTATTGCAAAGGCCTAGATTTGCCTCTTTCTCTACTTAACAGATTCTAAGACTGTGCTAAAGATGGTGTGGGTGACTTTTGACTTAGCTTCACCTTAGAAACTTAAATTCCCCATAAAAGAATTGAAGGATTATTACCACAGCATATACTTACATACATAAGCTGCACCTCAGTGAGCTGGAGTCCCTTGAAAATAACACAGTCATTTGAAAACAGGTCCRTGCATAATGTGCTGTTCCTTCCCTTCCTTCTCCTAAAACGGCTGCACACCTGCAAATCCTCCTACTCCTAGCAGGGGGCTCTTGCTAGATGACAGGAGGAGGAAGCCAAGAGAAGAAGAGAGGAAGCTCAGGGGCAGAAGGAAGAGCTTCAATGTGATCGGATGGCAACGGAGTCATAGGGAGCCCTAGGGCCAAGTTCTCCTCCTGGTAGCCACATGGGCACAGCAGTCGCAGCGGGGTCTACAGAGAGCTCCTGAGTTATAAGCATGAAACTATGATGACTTCTGAATCACAGTAACAGCTGCATTTTGCCTTCTCCAACTGGAACAGAAGAGCCGTGACTTGTTCCTCGGGTGCGGGAAGAAGCAGGGAGCGGAACAGACCAAATCCTGCAGGATTTGAGCTGAGGAGCAGCCCAGGCGGGAGAACACTCTGTGTGCAGCCTGTCTGTTGTCATCTGTTACTCGACTTCTACTGTGTCAATAAATCCAAACGCCAACAAGGGAGAAGGCAGCACATCTTGGCTCCATGAGCTGTGCAGAACAAGAACATGCCTGGTGTGACTGTAATGCAACTACTCGGCCACTCTACTGACGGCAAGGAGCATGTTGTGCTCAAGATGGGCTGTCTGCTCGTTTACATGCACAGATGATACAGGTGGTCTCTGTCTAGTGGGTCTGCARGACTAAGGCCATTGGCATCTCCTGCTAAGCTTTCCCACCTCTTCTGTTTTGTAAGTGTGTTAGAGCTCTCTTGACCTTCAACAGTCTTCCACTGTCAGCAAGGGATGGAGCTACGGAGAACAGCATTGCCAAGGGTGACATCCTTCCCCACACATTTTAGGCTCATTACTACCCAAACACGCAATTCAACTACACACGACAAGTACTACCCACAAGCCAATGAACGTGACTGCATTACTTGACTCTAGAGCTTTTCTGCTAGTTTTTCTCTATATTTTAGAAAGAAAAATTAACTGTCACAATCCTTTTTTTTTTTCTTTTAATCAATAAGGGAACAGAGCTAATTAATAACAACATACTGCACTTGCGTAGCAGACCACAGAGCATTCTCTTCACAAAAGGATTTTTAGAAACTTTCTAATCATGGTGGGAACAACTGTCCAAATTGTGACATTTTCCATGACACAAAAGCTACCTTTTTCCACACAGTTCTTCGAAACTCTGACTTATCAGAATCAACAGCTTGTTTGCTACTGACTTTAAATTAAAGGCAGAGATTGTCAGGAGAATTAGGGTAGAGCAACCTGACTTCTTCTCCACCGCTCTCTTTATTGGATCATCTTTGCTCRAAGGTCCAGGAGATCTCAGTGAACTAAGCTTATTTCTCACCAAATTAAGATGCTGTTGAAATGCAGCTCCAAATGAGTGTGCTCCCTATTTATCAGCCGTCTCTCCATCTACAGCTGTAGTGCATGTACTCTCATGAACTCTATCTAAATGCCAAGACAGATCTGTAAAGCTCTCAAGCTCCCCTGCTCAATCTGGGCAAAAATAGACATTACAACTCATGCATGAAAGATAAGTGACAAATCGGAGAAGTCTGCCTTAAGTTTTCCGTTGTACTTTTGGATTTTTCTCTTTTGGGTTGTTTTTTATGCCTTCCCTTAGGGCTGTCTAGATACAGATGAATGTGCCCCAGTCAAAGAATATAAAAACAGGGAACAAGGGGAAAAAAAAAAAAAAAAAGCTTGCTTTCTTTTCTTAAAGATATACCAATCCACTGCATCACAAGACACATATATCTAAAAGCTACACACAGCATAAAAATACATCCCAGCCCTCAGAATCACAGAAAACATATGAATCCATTTGGCTATTTTACTAGCAACAGTAATTTCTTTTTCCTAAGCAGAGGGCCTAGAGGCACATTATACACTTAATGGGAAGTGTACTCAAACAACACTGTAAACAGCAGAGAAAGAAATCGGGAACGGTCACTTGGTTATTTGTATGTCTTCTTTATATTTGTTAGTGGTGCCACATTTGCAAAAACACACGTGTATTCCCTAAGAGGCTCTGGTAATACGGGTTTATTTAATAATTGTGCTAATGATATCACTAGTGTGGGTCTGGAGGAGAGATGTTGCTGCTCTCCCTGTTTGGAGGGAGAATTCAACCTGGTGCAGAGTGGGATTTACACTGAAGGCCGTAAATTTGCTGGTGTTAATGCAGTGCTTACACACATCACACTACTGAATGCACACAGCGCTAGACAATGAAAAAAAAGAGGAACTTTCAGGCTGTGTCAAGAAAGGAAACGCCGTCTCATTAGAAGTGATGCTGTGTTCAAAAGGCCTAGGAAAAAAAGACAGGGAAAGGGTATGTTCAAAAGGCCTAGGAAAAGAGACAGACAGGGAAAGCAAAATGGAAATAAATCATACTATATAAACAGTAATAAATAATACATAATGCTAAGAAATCCTAGCACAGAGCAGGATGACAACTCTGCAAATACCTCATCTAGCTGTACATTAGTTAACCCAGGTTTTGGTAAATGTGTTTTACAGCAGCACAGAGCTCAGTGCCAGGCTGGGACCCACTTGGGTCACCTAGCCCAAGCTGCACTTGCTGCTGTAGCTGATAGGCAAAGCAGTTGATTTAAAGCTGGCAGAGAGTTTAGATGAATTTTAGTCATTCTGCCAGCCCAGCAAACTTACTTGAGGAGATGCCATGGCCCTWTTAGACAGAAATTGGAGAGGTGTAAAACAAATGTAAGTTATTCCATGCACAAATCCAAAAATTACTTTCACGTGAAGTTGTAGGTTATCTTACTTTCATCTCCTGGTTTGCTAGAGATAGATTGGCTACAACAAAGCACATGTTTTATTTTTCTCTGATCTTTTGCTCTATTTCTTTTTCTTTCTTTTTGTTTGTTTTTGTCTCATCCTAGCTTCCTTTTTAGAATCACCTTCATTTTCAGACATATCAAGCACTTCCCTGAGATCGCGGAAGCTCTGTCTGAACTCCCAATGACAGACAGAGAAAAAAAAAAAAAAGCATTTGAAAGGCAACAGTAGCCACCTTCATATTTTCTTCAGTCTCAATGAACAGGATCCCTTTGCATCCTGACCCTACGGACACAACCACAACATCCAAAACCTTCTCAAAGGAGACACTGCTGTACACACCCATCTGTGTATTCTTCAAAAGGGATGAAGCTGGAGGCAGCTTAATCTTTTTTCAAAGATTAAGGAGATCAAAGCTGGCAATAATACACTTTTCCTCAGCAAAATTAGTTACAGAAAATGAAAATATCAATAATAACATAAGGCGATTAAACAAGCCACATTGTCAAGTTTGCGAAGAACAGAAGGTCTTAACAAATGGCTGTCGACTAGACTTTAGACAACCCTTCTCACCAACAACATTGTAAAAAACAAACAAGTTGTATCTTAAATAGCTATAGTCGCATGGTATATGCAGAGAATATTGGAAAACATTCATACACTGTGAAGTCTGTGTTATTAAAAAGCATAAAAGAGAAGCCTGGCAGGATCCTCAAAGTCTCCCCTTCACTGATGTGGGCTGGTCCTTTCCATCCCACCATGGCCTCGTTACCCAACTTGTTCTCTGCTTATAGACTCAGCACTAGATCTGCAGAAGACACTACCTTCCTCTCCTGAGGACACTGAGACATTTTTCCCAGTCTATCCTGGGATGAATCCAAGATTTCCAAAGCTTTCAGATATAATGCTACCTCTAGGAAACTCTGGCTGCTCCTGGCAGAAGTTCAAATCTTAACCAAATAGCATTTCTCTACCAGAAAGCAGCACAGCTGAAGACGTTCCAGTCGCAGCGACTTACTGCTGCTGTGAACACTAAACTTTTCAGAGATGGTTTGTACCTGGCCATGAGCCAGCAGTTGCTCCCATGGGGGTATATGTGTTGGACACAAAAAAGCACAGGTTGCTCTCTCCTGCTCCTGGAGCGGTGGTCTTGACTGGKGCAGCTCTGTTTGGTACCAGGTCATGCTGCAAAGATGCTCAGCTAGAGCTGCAGAGACTTGAGAGCATATGTGGCACAAATGCCCTCTGATGATGGGCACCGTTGACCAGTTGCAGGCCCCAAGTGAGTTCCAGGCTCACTTCATCCTGGGATGACACTGAAACACACTCCCCAATCCTTGCTCCCCTTAGAAGTTCCCTGAAGCCCATCAAAGGCTGGGAGCTGGCACGCTTGCACCTGAGTAGTAACCAAGTGCAGTTATTTAGGACCCACATGTGCTTCCGTGGTGTCCTTCCAACTCCATGTTGCATAAAGAGACTCCTCAGAAGGAGGCTTAGCTCAAGAGGTGCTATGGGAAGGGCTAGAAGCAGGAGACACAGCTTCAGGCAGTTCCTCTAAGAGAAACATAGCCCCTTATTTGCAGCCTTTTGCCCCATATTTGATTCAGTGTTGCTGCAAAAATTTGCCTGGCATTTGTAACACACAAAATAAAATATGCTTTAAAACACAGCAGTGAAGGATTTATTCCAAGGAAGGGTTTTCTCATTTTTTTCCCCTGRTAATCTCTCCTGTTCTACTTGTTACAGGTTAGGGAAATTTAAAAGGCTATAGCTTCGGTGTGGCAGGGACTATTTAAGTCTGTGGTTTTCCCGTATTAGTGTATTGAAATCTTTGATTTGTGGGGAGGCGATAAAAGATGTGGAGAGAAAAATCTCCCCTGGCAACGTGTACTCTTGAAAGGCCCTTTCAAAGCAAACATTCCAGCAGTGAGAAATACTTCAGCACTCTGCAATCTCCTCCTTGCTCCACCGCCTCCCCAGCCTATGCTCTTAGTATTGCAATAATAAATTTCTTTGTGCCCCATCTTACACCATTTCTGGAAAGAAACCATTTCATATCACCTTTGTGCAGCTGGTGGGGGAGACCTCACCATCAAAGGCTACAGTCTTTCACACAGGGCCATGAGTATTTTATGCTTATTTGCAGACAAGTGCTAC